AGGTGGGCAAGATTGATTGGAAGATCCATATCGCTAGAGGAATGGAACAGTATCTGGACTATAAAAACAAACTATTCATACGCCTATGATATACAAGAACACTGGATAAAAATGGTACACCAGTGGTACCTAACGCCCTCCAAGCTTGCCAAATTCTCAAAGAACATGTGTAACAAATGTTGGAAATGCGGGGTAGAGGAGGGGACATATAAACACATGTGGTGGACCTGCGTGAAGGTAAAAGCATTTTGGAAAACAATCCAAGAAAACTGTCAAAAAATATTAGGAAAAAATATTCCCCTAAAACCGGAGATTTTTCTACTGGGCTTAACAGAAAAAATATGGGACAAAGAGTCTGATAAGCTATTCATATATCTGGTCACGGCGGCTCGCATACTTCTGGCCAAAGTCTGGAGAAAAAAGGAATTGCCTTCAGAAACAGAATGGATCCAAAAAATAGCAGACATAATGAACATGGACCATCTGTCTTACATCCTTTCTATTACACAACACACACAAACTGGTCCCCGGTAAAGGTATGGTTGGAGGGGAGAAAGATAAATCTACAATTTGTCTAACCTTAGCCTCACAGGTTTGGCCCTAACTTATGCACATCTCGGTAAACACCCAAACTAGATGACAAAATAGAAATACTACACCTAAAATTAAATTCAGATCAGATACAGGAGAAGGGGAAAAGCTAACAGGCGAAAAGGAACATAGTGAATAGAACCTGCCAGCGATATGTAAAGGGTATCCATGAGACAGAAATTCCTGAAGCTGTATAAAGGGGCATAAAGATAAAAAACACATCAGTACGGAAAATACCTATAAAAACTTATAACGATAAATAAAAGAAAAATGTAAATAAAGAACGAAGAGAAAATCCACTAGAATGGGGGGGAGGAGGTTCGGCCAATTCGGGTTGGCTGGGTTTTTTTTAATGTATTTGTCTATTTGTATCTTGTTGTATTTGCACGTTGTTGTTCATGTCTCGTGTCTGTTGTTGTCTTATTTTGTCTTTTTTAATGTTGTGAAATAAAAAAATAAATTTTAAAAAAAAGCGCAATCCATTCTCTAGCTGCTGAACTGGACCTCCTCGGAAATGATATCCCTTCACCCAGATCAGTGGTTCTCCACCTTTCTCATGCCGTGACCCCTAAATACACTTCCTCATGTTGTGGAGACCCCCAACCATATTTTCGTTGCTAGTTCATAACTGCTACTGTTACGAATTGTAACGTAAATATCTGATATGCAGGATGGATTTTTATTGTTACAAACTGAACATAATTAAAGCATAGCGATTAATCACAACAACAATGTGTTTCGGGAGTATGGACAACGGATGAAGGGATTTGCAGTTCCTTCACCCAATTCAGCTCTGACTGCCACAGACTGCTGAGAACCCCACAAATTGCAGACCTGGACCAAACGTGGCAGAGAGAACCCCCGTGACCGACAGGAAATACTGGAGGGGGCTGGGATGAATGGACAGTGATTTGGGGGAGATGTAGTTCACCTACATCTGGAGAGCACCGTGAACCCAAACAATGGATCTGGACCACACATGGCAAAAATACTCAATACGACCAAATTTGAACTCCTGCCTTCCTCCTCATTCTCCTCTGGGCTTTTCTTCCTCCTCCTCTCCATTTGGGAACCTCCAATCACTGTTACTTTCTCCCAAACCCTTCCAGTGTTTTCCATTGGTCATGGGAGTTCTGCGTGCTAAATCTGGTTCAGTTCCATGGTTGGTGGTGTTCAGAATGCTCTTTGATGGCAGGTAAACTATAAATCCAAGCCACTTCCACCTCCCAAATGTCAGGGTCTATTTTCCCCAAAGCTCTCCAGTAATTTCTGTGGGTCAAGGGAGTTCTTCATACCGAGTTTGGTTCAGTTTAATTGTTGGTGTTCAGAATGCTCTTTGATGGCAGGTCCAAGCAACTGTAACTCCCAAATGTAAAGGTCTATTTTCCCCAAACTTCACCATTCTGAACTCCACCAATGATGGAATTGAACCAAACGTGGCATACAGGACTTCCATGACAAACAGAAAACACTAGAAGTGTTTGGTGGGCATTGACCTTGAGTATGGGAGTTGTAGTTCACCTACATCCAGAGAGCACTGTGGACTCAAACAAGGATGGATCTGGACCAAACTTGGCACAAATACTCCATATTCCCAAATGTGAAGACAGATGGAGTTTGGGGGAAGTAGACCTTCACATTTGGGAGTTGTAGTTACTGGGATTTATAGTTCACCTAGAATGAAAGAGCATTCTGAACCCCACGAACAACAGAACTGGGGCAAACTTCCCACTCAGAACCCCCATACTTAAGGCCATCCAGTCCAACTCCCTTCACCAGGGCAAGAAAACATAATCAAAGCCCTCCTGACAAAGAGCCATCCAGCCATAGATATAGATAGATATATATGATTCACACATAGAGAGATATAGTATCATAGATTTGAAAGGGACCCCTAAAGAAGGACAATTGTATGTTGCATGTTCCAGAGTGGGCAAACCAGACAATCTCCACATCAACATTGACAAATAAACAGCAAGAAATACTGTTTACCCACAAGCAAAAGAAATTGCATATATTAGAAACCAATACTTTCTAATTTATTTTCCAGATCTGCAGACTGGGCCACAGCAACGCCTGGCAGGGGACGGCTAGTGATTTGTCATTTCCTGGATCAGAGAGAAAAGAGGAAGGAAAGGAGGAAGGGATTTCAGTGTGGCCTTGAATCGAAGAGAAGTCAGCACCGCTCACTGATTTATCTAATACCCATGCCAACATAAAGGCAGATCAGATAGCACACCAACTCCTTGAAGAATGGGAAACCCAACCTTGCCACCAAAGTAGGAAAGAAACCAATAGCCAGACAACCAGAGATTGAGAACAACAACCTCCATGACCCCTTTACATCTACTGAATTGGACATGGCTCTCAATAAATGTAAGAATGGCAAAGCAGCTGGCCTGGATGATCTACGGATGGAACAAATCAAGAACTTTGGTCCAAAAGCAAGGCGCTGGCTGCTGGAGCTGATGAACAACTGCACTGCATCCTGTCAGATCCCCAAAATCTGGAGGAAAGCAAGAGTCATCGCCATCTTGAAGCCAGGCAAAGACCGCAATGACCCAAAAAGCTACAGACCAATCTCCCTGTTGTGCCACCTCTACAAAGTTCTGGAGAGACTTATTTTGCATAGAATTATGGAAAAAATAGACCCATGTCTGATTCCACAGCAAGCTGGCTTCAGGAAAGGCAAAAGCTGCACATCGCAAGTGCTGAACCTGACTCAGCACATAGAAGATGGCTTTGAAAGGCAGCAGATCACAGGAGCTGTCTTCATAGACCTGTCAGCAGCTTATGATACTGTGAACCACCACCTCCTCCTGAGAAAAATGTATAATATCACAAAGGACTACCACCTCACCCGCCTCATAGGAAACCTGCTACAAAACAGGAGTCTTTTGTTGAGTTCCAGGGCCAGAGAAGCAGATGGCGGAAACAGAAGAACGGCCTGCCTCAGGGGAGCGTGCTTGCTCCATCCATGTTCAACATTTACACAAATGACCAGCCACTGCCAGAAGGGACAGAGAGCTTCATCTATGCTGATGATCGTGCCATTACTGCTCAAGCAGGGAGCTTTGAGATGGTTGAACAGAAGCTCTCCGAAGCTCTAGGTGCTCTTACGGCCTCTTACAGGGAAAACCAGCTGATCCCTGACCCATCTAAAACACAACGGGACGTAACTGTGACGGGTTACCTGGGGTGCTCTTAGAGGACAAGAGTTTCATCTATGCTGATGATCGTGCCATTACTGCTCAAGCAGGGAGCTTTGAGACTGTGAACAGAAGCTCTCCGAAGCTCTAGGTGCTCTTACTGCCTACAGGGAAAACCAGCTGATCCCTAACCCATCTAAAACACAGACATGTGCCTTTCATCTCAAGAACAGACAAGCATCCTGAGCTCTGAGGATCACCTGGGAAGGAATCCCACTGGAGCATTGCAGCGCACCCAAATACCTGGGAGTCACTCTGGACCGTGCTCTGACCTACAAGAAGCACTGCCTGAATATCAAGCAAAAAGTGGGCGCTAGAAATAATATCATAAGAAAGCTGAATGGCACAACCTGGGGATCACAACCAGACACAGTGAAGACATCTGCCCTTGCGCTATGCTACTCTGCTGCTGAGTATGCATGCCCAGTGTGGATGCATAAAACAGTGGATGTGGCTCTTAATGAGTCATGCCGCATTATCATGAGGTGTCTGCACCCTACACCACTGGAGAAATTACACTGCTTAGCCGGTACTGCACCACCTGACATCCGCCGGGAAGTAGCAGCCAATAGTGAAAGCACCAAGGCAGAGACATCTCCAGCTCATCCCCTGTTTGGGTATCAGCCAGCACGTCAACAACTGAAATCTAGAAATAGTTTTCTAAGATCTACAGAGACACTCGCTGGAACACCTCAGCAAGCGAGAGTCCAAAAGTGGCAGGCTCAAACCCAGAACCTCAATCAATGGCTGATACCAAATGAGAGACTCCCCCCTGGGCACACAGAAGACTGGGCAACTTGGAAGGCGCTGAACGTGGTGCGCTCTGGCACCACGAGATGCAGAGCCAATCTTAAGCAATGGGGCTACAAATCCACGACATGCGAGTGTGGAGAAGAGCAAACCACTGACCACCTGTTGCAATGCAACCTGAGCCCTGCCACATGCACGATGGAGGACCTTCTTGCGGCAACACCAGAGGCACTCCAAGTTGCCAGATACTGGTCCAAGGACATTTAATCAGCTACCAAGTTTGCAAAACTTTGGGTTTTGTCTGTTTGTTTGTTTTGTTTGTTAAAAATGTAATACAACTGTCTGGTTGCTCCTGACACGATAAAGAAATACTGATTTATCAAACATCCTCCTGAGGCATTGCCAAACATAGGAGCTTGTTTGCAAAAAAACATTTATTTGAAAACTTACCAAAATATGACAAATCCAACGTTCAGTCGAAACCTCCTAAAATGGAGAAAGGAAGACAACATAAGAAAATGTTGGCTGAAGGTACAGAAGTGATGAAACCACTGGGAATTCTGAATGGATTAATCCCTAGTGCCAATGGCAAACTGGATCAACTAAAGGCCATCTTGAAGAATTCTCTAGGACAATGGAAACTGGGAAAGCAATCTGAGAAGAGGGAGCCAAACAAGAGGAAAAAACGGAAGGAGAAACAGAAGGTAAACAAAGGGTCACGAAGAAGGAATCCAGAGGGAACCATTCTGGCTTCCCAGGGCAGAGAATTCGAGCTGCGTGTCTCAGGCAACGTCCACACGCCCTGTCTCTCAGGATCTGATCCCGGGTTATTTGGCTGCGCAGACTCCCAGAATCCAGTTCAAGGCAGAGGATGTGGGGCCAGATCCTGGGAGAGAGGGAAGTGCGGATCCAGGCCGAGGCTTCAGAATTCCAAGCTGGGCAAAGCCAGTCCCGTGAGCCTCGGTTCCAGCGACATGGCTCCCCATGGTTTCCTTGAGGAGCACCCCTCCCTCTCCCTCCTTGAAGGGTCTGCTTTGGGCAGGGAAGGAAGGAGGGGAGGGGGCTCCAAGGGGGAGGAATGAAGGGCTGCTGAGTGCCTGCCTGAGGGAGGGAGGGAGGGGGCCCCTTCGGCACTGCCCTCTCGCCCCCATGATGACCGCAGGGCACCAAGTGCTGCTCTGGGCCAGAGTGAAGAGAGGGGGGGCCGGAAGACAGTCCCACCTTGTCTCCTGTGGTATGTGAATCTATATAAATAAAAATGCAATGTTCATTTGTGGGATTAACAGAACTCAAAAACCACTGGGCGAATTGACACCATGTTTGGACACAAGACACCTAACAACCCAATGTATGTCCTTCACTCAAAAATTTTTAGGAGTTATAGTTGCTGGGATTTATAGTTTACTTACAAACAAAAATAATTCTGAACCCCACAACAATGGAATTGAACCAAACTTGACACAGAGCTCTCCCATAACCAACAGAAAATACTGGAAGGGTTTGGGGGAGTGTCCTTTGGTTTTGGAGTTGTAGTTCACCTACATCGAAAGATTACTGTGGACTCAAACAATGATGGATGTGGACCAAACTCTACACAAATACTCAATATGCCCAAATGTGGAGTTTAGGGAAAATAGACTCTTGACATTTGGGAGTTGTAGTTGCTGGGATTTATAGTTCACCTACAGTCATAGAGCATTCACCCATAGAGCATTGACCCATAGAGCATGAACCCAACCAACGATAGAATTGGGCCAAACCTCCCAAACAGAACCCCCATGTGGTCCACAGCAACGCGTGGCAGGGGATGGCTAGTAATATAATATAATATAATGCAATTGTATGATTGTTATACGGATGTTTAATGATTTATGTTACAATTGTTTTTAATTGCCCTATACTTGTCTCGTGATGTTTTGTATCGATGTTGTTCACCGCTTTGAGTCGCCTGAGGGCTGAGAAAAGCGGTATATAAATAAAGTAAATAAATAATAATAATAATAATAATAATGTAATACAATTAACATAAATAAGAGAAATCTGTTTACATAGTTTCAAACATGCAATAGTCGTAATGAACTATTACAAATACAGTGTGCATAGTAAACAATATTAAGTCATATATAATACTGTGAATATTGGTTACTCTTGCAATATAAATATAATGTAATATTTGTATATAGAAATTTTATGGTACCTTTCTTTTATGAGGGTGTTGATAATTTGTCTACCATAAACAATGACATTCATAGCTCTAAAATCAGGAATAGTTATTAATAGAAGGTTATTATAGGTCTAGGCTCCCTGGTGGTGCAGCGGGTTAAACTGCTGAGCTGCTGAACTTGCTGACCAAAAGGCTGGTGGTTCAAATCCAGGGAGCAGGGTGAGTTCCCACTGTTAGGCCCAGCTTCTGCCAACCTAGCAGTTTGAAAACATGCAGATGTGAGTAGATCAATAGGTACTTCCTTGGCGCTCCATGCAGTCATGCCAGCCACATGACCTTGGAGGTGTCTATGGACAACGCCAGCTCTTCGGCTTAGAAATGGAGATGAGCACACCCAGAGTCAGACACGACTGGACTTAATGTCAGGGGACTACCTTTACCTTTACCTATGTAAATGCATCTTGTGAGCCGCTTTGAGTCTCCTTCGGGGTGAGAAGGGCAGCATGGAAATGTCGTAAATAAATAAATGGTGAGACACAGTTGGAAGAGACTCCAAAGGTCACCCAGCCCAGGAAGGAGGAGGACACAAGACAAGCCCTCCCGACAGATGTCCACCCAGCCCCTGCTGAGAGACCTCCCGAGAAGGAGGAGGCCCCGCTGGACCCCCAGGAAAGCCTCCCCGTCCAGTGTGGTCAGGGCAGGAGAGAGGTCATCCATCCCAACCCCCTTCTGTCAAGCAGGAAGGCACCACCCGATCCCTCCTCGCAGATGGCCATCCAGCCACGGCTTAAACCCTCCAGAGAAGGAAGGAAGGGAGCTCCTCCGAACTCCAGGCAGTCTGGGGGGAGGACCCCAAAGGCCATCCATCCTGACCCCACCAGGCACAGAGTGAGAGAGAAGGGCCGCTGATCAAGGTCGTCAACAAAGAAAGAGAGGAATAGGGCGTGCTGTGGAGTGGAGAAGGCGAGCCTCCCTTGCCACAGGGCCCAGGCTGAGGAGGCCGCGCTCACCTGGGTTTCCTCCTCGGGGAGGCAGCCTGGAAGGAAGGAAGGAAGGGGAGGCAGGGAGCCAGGGAGGGAGAGGCGGGCTCGGAGGCCGAACAGGCCGCACAGGAGGAGGAGGGGGAGGCGGCAGCGATTCCCTTCCGAAGCCGGGAGAGAGAGAGAGGCCGCCCTCAAAAAGGGCAGAGGCCGAGAAGGGCCCACCCCACAGGCACACTACTCACCCCCACTCGAAGGAACGGGCCTCCTCCTCCGTCCCTCTCTCTCTCTGTCTCTCTCTCTCTCTGACGGAAAGGCCTCCTGCTTCTCTCTTCCTGGTCAACAAGCCCGACTCCGCCCTTGGCTCCTCCTCTTCCTCCCGCTCTCTCCCTCCCTCCCTCCTCCGGAAGTGAGCTCACGGGGAAAGGCCTCGCCCGAGCCTCCCTCGCCTCTCTAGGACACGGAGGCCGGCCCCTCTCGCTGCACTTCCGCCAAGACCAAACATGGCTGCCGCGCGGGGGCTGGGTGCCCAGAGAGAGGCGGGGCTTCTTGGCGGCGCTGGCCAGTCAGGAGCAAGAGCTTCCCCTTCCTTCCAATAGGAATTCGCCTCCCTCTCCGGCGTCACCGGTCTCCGGGCAGAAACTCCCCCGAGCGCTTTTCTCCGCCCTTCCTTCTGCCACTCCGAGAGGGCATTCCTTCCTTCCCATTGGGATGCGCCAATGGGAATGGGCCTCCGCTGGCCGCGTCACCAGTCTCCAGGCAGAACCGGCCTGCCGGATTGATCCTCCCTCTCGCTGCTGCTGCCTATTCCTGCCATTCAGAGAGGGAGGGGGAGGGGGAGGGAGACCGAATGGACCACAGTCTCTTCCAAGGCCTACTCAACCCAATCCACAAGCTTGGCCTTCCTTCCCTCCTTCCCTCCCGGACTGTTGGGCTTATATTCTCCTCTCCTTCAGTCCCACTCTGTATCAGAAATATTAAATATCAACTAGGTAGACTTACCAGGAAACCAGAAGACCTCAGATATGCAGATGACACCACTCTGATGGCCGAAAGCAAGGAGGAGCTGAGGAGCCTTCTAATTGAGGTGAAAGAAGAAAGCGCAAAAGCCGGGTTGCAGCTAAACGTCAAAAAAACCAAGATTATGGCAACAAGAATGATTGACAACTGGAAAATAGAGGGAGAAAACGTGGAGGCCGTGACAGGGTTTGTATTTCTAGGTGCAAAGATGACTGCAGATGCAGACTGTGGCCAGGAAATCAGGAGACGCTTCCTTCTTGGGAGGAGAGCAATGTCCAATCTCGATAAAATAGTCAAGAGTAGAGACATCAGACTGGCAACCAAGATCCATTGCCTAGTCCAAGCCATGGTCTTCCCTGTAGTAGTCACCTACGGATGTGAGAGCTGGACCTTAGGGAAGGCTGAGCGAAGGAAGAGAGATGCTTTTGAGCTGTGGTGTTGGAGGAAAGTGCTGAGAGTGCCTTGGACTGCGAGAAGATCCAACCAGTCCATCCTCCAGGAAAGAAAGCCCGGCTGCTCACTGGAGGGAAGGAGACTAGAGACAAAGTTGAAGTCCTTTGGCCACATCATGAGGAGACAGGAAAGCCTAGAGAAGGGAATGATGCTGGGGAAAGTGGAAGGGAAAAGGAAGAGGGGCCGACCAAGGGCAAGATGGATGGACGGCATCCTTGAAGTGACTGGACTGACCTTGAGGGAGATGGGGGTGGTGACGGCCAACAGGGAGCTCTGGCATGGGCTGGTCCATGAGGTCACGAAGAGTCTGAGACGACTGAACAAATGAACAACAAGGTAGACTTAATTACAAAAATGCAAGTCAAGCTCTGAAAAGGTGACATGGATGCAGTTTGATATAAGCAGCTGTGCCTGTAGCTCAGCAGGCCTCAGTGAGAGGCCTCAGGGTGAGAAGGCATTGGTGTGAGAAGCTTCAGTGAAAGAAGCCCCGGGTTGAAGGCCTCTGCTGTAAAGCTCCTGTGTCAGTGTGTTTTGGAATGAGAGGAGGCTCTGTGAGGGCAAAGCTGTTTATCTGCATGAGGAAGAAGCCCAGGAATAGCCTGTTAGACCAGGAATCATAGAATCCTAGAATCAAAGAGTTGGAAGAGACCCCATGGGCCATCCAGTCCAACCCCATTCTGCCAAGAAGCAGGAATATTGCATTCAAATCACCCCTGACAGATGGCCATCCAGCCTCTGTTTAAAAGCTTCCAAAGAAGGAGCCTCCACCACACTCCGGGGCAGAGAGTTCCACTGCTGAACGGCTCTCACAGTCAGTAAGTTCTTCCTAATGTTCAGATGGAATCTCCTCTCTTGCAGTTTGAAGCCATTGTTCTGCGTCCTAGTCTCCAAGGAAGCAGAAAACAAGCTTGCTCCCTCCTCCCTGTGGCTTCCTCTCACATATTTATACATGGCTATCATATCTCCTCTCAGCCTTCTCTTCTTCAGGCTAAACATGCCCAGCTCCTTAAGCCGCTCCTCATAGGGCTTGTTCTCCAGACCCTTGATCATTTTGGTCTCCCTCCTCTGGACACATTCCAGCTTAGAGTCAATCTCTCTCTTGAATTGTGGTGCCCAGAATTGGACACAATATTCCAGATGTGGTCTAACCAAAGCAGAATAGAGGGGTAGCATTACTTCCTTAGATCTAGACACTATGCTCCTATTGATGCAGGCCAAAATCCCATTGGCTTTTTTTTTGCCGCCACATCACATTGTTGGCTCATGTTTAACTTGTTGTCCACGAGGACTCCAAGATCTTTTTCACACGTACTGCTCTCGAGCCAGGCGTCACCCATTCTGTATCTTTGCATTTCATTTTTTCTGCCAAAGTGGAGTATCTTGCATTTGTCACTGTTGAACTTCATTTTGTTAGTTTTGGCCCATCTCTCTAATCTGTCAAGATCGTTTTGAATTCTGCTCATGTCCTCTGGACTATTGGCTATCCCTCCCAATTTGGTGTCGTCTCTGAGTGTGTGTGTGTGTGGGGGGGGGAGCCAATGGAAAGGGCAAGGGTCTCAAGGCCCACCTGCGGGCGAGAAAGGCTGAGACCCCCTCCCTCAGAAGTAGGACAAGAGGAATTCTCTTTGGAGGGAAGAGGGGGGGGGTCCCTTGGGAGGGAAAGGAAGGGCAGGGCCCCCCCCCCCCCCCCCCCAATATTCCCCAGAGGAGAAGGGAAGGCGCCTTTCCCATGAGGTATCTCAAACTGAACTGACACAGCCCTCCCCCCTCTCTCACAAAGACCATCCTTTGACCACAAACCAGCCTCGGTTATGGAACACCTTCTCATCCAATGACTACCAAACCCAATCCACAACCCTGCCCCCCCCCCCTCCCTCCCTGCCTGCCTGTTGGGTTGGGCTTATGTTCTGCTCCTTTTCAGTCTCACTAAGAGACAAAGACACCCCAGTCTTTCTAGAAACTAGTCAAGGACTTCTCCCTGACCACCATTACATCCTGAGCCCCCCACTGGGGTGAGAATGGTGAGGTATAAATGTAGTATAAAAATAATAATAATTTGTCCCTCTCCACGGGTTCACGCATCTTCATCAGCCACTCTTCTTTCTTGCATCGGAATAGTAGGTTCCTTCCATAGCTGGGCACAGAGGGGGCTGGCTGCACTCACCTAACTGGGGATTCGCCTTCCATGCTTCTTGCCTAATTCATCACACAGCATCCCCAGCAAGGAAAACCCTGGTCCCGTTGTGATTCTTTCCCATTTTATCTTTCAGCCACAATCTTTCTGGGCTCTTTGCAAGACCACAATGTATGATTTATTTATTTATTTAATCTCAAAACATTTCATAAATTCTCTGCACATTGCACTTCCTTGAAATCTGAGAGATCACCTGTCACACCCAGCACTTTTTAATCTGTACTCATTACTTAGGCCCGGCCCTGTTTTTAATTTGTTATGTTGTTTTACTGTTATTGCTTTAATGTTTTGATTTGTATTGTATTTGTTATGCTATTGTTTGTTGAGGCCTTGGCCTTTGTAAGCCGCATCGAATCCTTCGGGAGATGCTAGCAGGGTACAAATAAGGTTAATAATAAATAATAATAATAATAAATAAGTATAACACTGATAAAATTGAGAAAGCACAAGCGACTAAATAGTTTGAGACCAAAAACAGGCAACTGCATTTTCTGTAGCCCTGAACCATTCTTCCTCCTTGCATGAGGCAGGGCCTGTGGACAAGCACACAGATGCGGAATTGCTATTTCTGCTCCACGGTCGCACCAGGTGGAGGCTTCTTCTAGGTTGTTCCATTTTGCCAGGTTGCCTTTTGAGCTCGGTTACTCAAGAGGGGGGCCTTCTGGAGCAATTTTGTCTATAGCCCATGTCATCTCCCTGTCCTAGAGAGAGACCATAGCCTCGACAGGGTCACTTACCAAGGAGGCGGGAAAATCCCCAAGAGCCATCAAAAAACCATTTGGGTCCATAAGTCTCCTGGGGCGGAGCATTTTAATGGGTCCACTACCCCTGAGGAGGTAGGTAGGCACAATAAGTCTAAACCTGATCAGGTGGTGGTCGGTCCATGGCAACGGAGCGATGGTCAGCTTCTCCACCCCGCAAACTTCTTCCCATCCCTGGCAGACCAGATCCAGCGTGTGTCCAGCACTGTGGGTGGGACCAGATACTAATTGGGACAGGCCCATGGTTGCCACGGCTGACATGAAGTCCTGAGCCGCTCCTGACAGAGTGGTCTTGGCATGGACATTGAAGTCCCCCAGCACAATGAGTTGTTGGGACTCAAAGGCCAGACCTGAGACCACTCCGGCTAGCTCAGGTAGGGAGACTGTAGTGGAACGGGGTGGTCGGTACACCAACAGAATCCCTATCCTGGTCACCAATTCTCAGGCCGACACACTCAAATGTGGTAGACTGCGGGATGGGGCACCTGGTCAGGGGGATGGTATCCTTATAGCAATTGCAACACCCCCTCCCTCCAGATCTTGACTGGTGCTGAACGGAGTAGTCTGGTGGACAAAGCTGGGAGAGATTAACCCCCCCCAGCCTCGTCCAACTAGGTCTCCGTTATACAAGCCAGGTCAGCATGTTCTTCAAGGATTAGATCCTGAATAATAGATGTTTTTCCATTCACGCACCTGGCATTGAATAGCACCACTCACAACCTGTAGGGACCGCCATCCTGGGTACTCAGCTAGCGGGATACAAATAATGCTAGCGGGGTAGATGCTAGAGGGGTACAAATAAAGTTTAATAATAATAATAATAATAATAATAATAATAACCTTGTCAGGAGTCCTATTTAAATTTACAAGAGTTCTTCCTTCAATTTCTGGCCGAACTGGTAATTTAGAGTTTTCACTTATAGGTTGGATTGTTATATTTGATCTGTTCCAATGTTTAGGCCAAATTAATGATCTGTGTCTCCCTTTCCCACATCCTCCCCTCCCAATCACCACCTCAATAGGGGTCCCTATTCAATGTATCTTAAATGTTGTATGCATTTTAATCTTGGTAATTTGGTTATTTTATATAGTTTGGGTTATTTTATACTTATATTTTGATATTATTCATTTACTGTTTATAATTTGATTTGTTTGCTTGCCAATCTTCCTATTGTAAACCACCTTTGAGTCCCTTCAGAGAGATAGGGTGAGATAAAAATAAAGTTGATGTTGTTATATAGGGGCTTTACTCTAAGCACGCATTATTATTATTATTATTATTATTATTATTATTATTACACCCCATTGTATCTCTGACCACATAACTTACAAATATACAAATACAGGGTGAGGCAGCATAACTTCCTTTGTTCAAAACTTAATAAAAACCCATTGTATGAATCAGAAAAAAATTATAATGTAGGCGCACACCTAAAGTTTTGTTTTACATAGTTTTGAAAATCAAATTAGGTAGGTGACGTCCCCCATTCTCCACACAATGAGTACACCAATTTCTGGCATTTGTCATGACTCTTGCCAGCATAGCATACGTTATGTTGGCACTTTCTTCCTGGATGTTGGTCTTCGAATCTTGTAGGGTCCTTGGATGTTTCACATAAACACGGGTTTTCAAAAAACCCATAGAAAAAAATCACAAGGGGCCAAATCTGGAGCAGGCCGGCCACTCCAAATCCGCTCGAAAAGTAGGCCTCAACGGTAAAAGCATTCCAACGCATGATGGCGACTGAACTGTGTCGGGACAAAACTTTATACTCCCACCTCTTGAACAAGACCACTAGCGCTCCACTACGTCTTCAACTGACTGAATGGCACGCATTTTTAAAAAGGAAGTTATGCTGCCTCACCCTATATTTGCCAAGGTCACAGTCCAATAGTCAGATGTCAGGAATGCATTAACCACAGTTCATAAAATAACTACCAAGAATCCAAGAGTACAAACCAAAGTCAGAATTCCAAAGTCAAGCCAGATAAACAGGGATGCAAACTGAAGTCCAATTCCATAAAACAAGCCGAGTAGTCTGTCCAGAATTTGAAGTCAACGATTACTCAGGGTACAACAGTCCAGAACAGGATTACAGGGTCTTGAGGAAGAAAAGGTCAGGTTAACCCCTTCCTAACTGGCTGCAATACAGAGAAAAAGCCTCCTGAGTCCTGAACACTCTGTCAAGCCAGACCACACAAACTGCTGCACATGACAGATAGAGAGCAAGTTGGCAGCCTTCTTTTTTCTGTCCATCATCCCAATTTTTTGTCTACCTGGGACCCTTGGAAACATAAAGGCAGGTCTCCTCTAGCTGTGTGTGAGCTCTTTCATGTCTAATGCATTGTCCCTTGAGTGGGTCATTTGATGGGTATGCAGATTCGCACTGTGACTGAAGCTCTTTCCACATTCCATGCATTTATGTGGCTTCTCTGCGTGGGTCCTTTGATGGGAACGCAGATGTCCACTGCGACTGAAGCTCTTTCCACATTCTATGCATTTATGTGGTTTCTCCCCTGTGTGGGTCCTTTCATGGGTACGCAGATTTGCACTCAGACTGAAGCTCTTTCCACATTGCATGCATTTATGTGGTTTCTCCCCTGTGTGGATCGTTTGATGGGTACGCAGACTCGCACTGTGTCTGAAGCTCTTTCCACATTCCATGCATTTATGTGGCTTCTCTCCTGTGTGGACCCGTTGATGGGAACGCAGCTTCCCACTCTCACTGAAGCTCTTTCCACATTCCACGCATTCATGTGGCTTCTCCCCTGTGTGGGTCATTTGATGGGTACGCAGATGTCCGCTCTCACTGAAACTCTTTCCACATTCCATGCATGTATGTGGCTTCTCCCCTGTGTGGATCCTGTGATGGGAACGCAGATGTCCACTGCGACTGAAGCTCTTTCCACATTCTATGCATGTATGTGGCTTCTCCCCTGTGTGGGTCCTTTGATGGGTATGCAAATTTGCACTCTGACTGAAGCTCTTTCCACATTGCATGCATTTATGTGGTTTCTCCCCTGTGTGGGTTCTTTGATGGGTACGCAAATGTCCACTGTCACTGAAGCACTTTCCACATTCCATGCAGTTATGCGGCTTCTCCCCTGTGTGGGTCCTTTGATGGATACGCAGACTCCCACTATGACCGAAGCACTTTCCACATTCCATGCATTTATAGGGCTTCTCCCCTGTGTGGGTTCTTTGATGGATATTCAGACCCCCACTGTGACTGAAGCTCTTTCCACATTCCACGCATTTATAGGGCTTCTCCCCTGTGTGGGTCCTTTGATGGGAACGCAGCTTTCCACTATCCCTGAAGCTCTTTCCACATTCCATGCATTTATACAGCTTCTCTTCTGTGTGAGTTCGTTGATGTGTAGTAATAGAACTTCTCCCAGTGAAATATTTCACACAGTCCATACAATTATGTCGCTTCTCCCCTGTGTGTGATTTTGACAAGGAATGGAGATTTTCCATTCTTTTACATTTATGATTCAAATATTATGCCAGAAGGTCTCCTGATTTCCTCTTCTCAGTCTCTCTATTGCTCTATTTCATTTGAATAAATTACCAAGCCCCACTGTTTACAGCACAATCCTCCCTTTCCTCCTTGAATACACAGCTATGTAGCTTGAAGTATAATTTCTCCAACTTATTTCTAGTGAGTGCTGTGCAATTTCATTCCTGACCTAAGTCAAAAGGAAATGTTCTTCACAAGGTTCATTCAGAGGTTACCTGCCAGAGAAATGAGAGGAAAAATTTATCAGGATCAGAGCGCAGAAATACCTCATTGAACAATAAGAACAATAGCTTGGTGCTGTAGCAAATGCAGGAGAAGAAGGGAGAAAGAGCGGTCCTATTGAGAAGAGCCTTTGCCTGCTGAGAAGTACTTTAACACTTGCCCAACAAAGAGCAAGCCCTGCAAAGAGGGGAGAGTGGCCCAAGATTCTCTCCATGAGATTGTTTGCATTGCAGTGTGTTAAGAGTGTCATTCAATCTTTGCAAAGGAAGACTTCTAACAATACGGTCAGCGCTGAAACGGCTCAGGTTGCAAAGCGGTTCCTGCCTAAATCCCGCTTCCTCACATCCCAACTCAGAACTTGAGTGACCATCTGTACAGACAGACAATCCCAAGTGGTCAGTCTTGTGAGAAAAATACTTCATTGTCTTGTGTAGATTTCTTCCAACAGTAATTTTTTTTTCCTGATCCTCTCTTTCCCGGCAGCCTGATCCCTGCTCCACATTTCTAAACCAAGGCACCTCTCCCTTGTTAGTGCACAAGCTTCAAAATAAATCTGAAATTCTGGTAGGGACAACCCTCCCCTTTTCTTTGCATTAATTAATATTTGGTATTTGATCCTTGCTTTCTTTCCATTCCACTTAAGTCTAGAAGGGTGTGATTTATGTTGAGGGTGGCACACATACCTTTGGTACCAAAAGAACTTCTCCAACCACGTTGTCAGGGCAGCTCTATTAAAGAGATGGGAAAAATACCAAGGAAGATTTTATATGGAAAGGCCCCTCTGGCTTTCCCTAGTTGAGGGTCCCCACAGAAGAGAAATCTCCATGCACAAATGGTATACTTATAAACATCTTCTAAGGAAGCAAAATACAAGGGGTATTTTTAAAGTAAGGTCCGTTTTGTTGTAGACACTAGTAGTTCGCGCGCATACCACAACGAGCGTGTACCGGCATGCCTCGGGAACAACTGTGCTCAGTTTCCACTCTGTAGCTAACCTGTACGGTTCTGTTCTGTGCTTTAAAAATGTTTAAGACTATCAACTCACGCGCCGCATGTGAGGTTTGCTCAATGATACGGTTTTTGTCACCAAGGAACCTGCCTGCTGCAGAAATTCATCGACAAATTTGTGAAGTGTACGGTGATACTGTTATGAGTGTAAACAAACTGCGTAAGTGGGTACGACAATTCAAAGATGGCCGTGACAACGTCCACGATGAGGACCGCTCTGGTCGCCCTACTTTGATTACAGACGATTTGGTGGCTTCAGTTGAAGCAAGGATTCGTGAGAACAGGCGCTTCATAATAACAGGTCTCTCAAACGAATTTCCTGACGTGTCGAGATCAGTGCTTTACAACACTGTTTCTGAACACCAAAAGTTTAAGAAACTGTGCTCCTGTTGGGTCCCGAAACTCCTAACAGAGGACCACAAAAACCAAAGATTTGAGTGCGTGATCAGATCAAATCGTCTATAATCAAAGAAGGGCGACCAGAGCAGTCCTCATCATGGACGTTGTCACGGCCATCTTTGAATTGTCATACCCAACGCACGCGCTAGTTGCAGTATGCGAGCGAACTACTAGTGTCTACAACAAAATGAACCTTACTTAAAAAATACCCCTCGTAATATTTGGATCCTAAAACCACTAGATGACTTAAGACAAGAGGGTAAAAATCTATCTTGGTTCCAATATGGACAAATAATGAACAGCTATAAGGAAGACAAAACAGACGAATTTACAACACAAGAATCGGTATGGGATATAATAATGTCGAGAGAGAAAAATAATAATAAAGATAATGTACCAAGAACTATTACAATGGAACACAGAAACAGAACAGATAAAGGAAAATATGATTCAATGGGCTAAGGATATTGACCGCTCTATCCTATTAGAGGAATGGGGAAAAGTATGGAAACTTAAATCAGAATACTCAAGATCTATAAAAGTAATAGAAAATTGGTACAAAATGTTTTTCAGTTGGCACTGAATATCAGAGAAACTAGCAAGATACCATAAAAACTACAATAATAAATGTTGGAAATGTAGTTAGAAGGCAGGATCATCAAGTTTGCAGATGACACCAAATTGGGAGGGAAAGTCAATACTCCAGAGGATAGGAGCAGAATTGAAAACGATCTTGACAGATTAGAGAGATGATGGGCCAAAACTAACAGAATAAAGTTCAACAGGGACAAATGCAAGATACTCCACTTAGGCAGGAAAAACGAAATGCAAAAATACAGAATGGGGGACAATGCCTGGCTCGAGAGCAGTACGTGTGAAAAAGATCTTGGGAGTCCTCGTGGACAACAAGTTAAACATGAGCCAGGAATGTGATGTGGCGGCAAAAAAAGCCAATGGGATTTTGGCCTCCATCTAGAGGAGCATAGTGTCTAGATCTAGGGAAGTCATGCGCCCCATGCTCTATTTCCGCTTTGGTTAGACCACACCTGGAATATTGTGTCCAATTCTGGGCACCACAATTGAAGAGAGATATTGACAAGCTGGAATGTGTCCAGAGGAGGGCGACTAAATTGATCAAGGGTCTGGAGAACAAGCCCTATGAGGAGCGGCTTAAAGAGCTGGGCATGTTTAGCCTGAAGAAGAGAAGGCTGAGAGGAGACATGATAGCCATGTAAAAATATGTGAGAGGAAGCCACAGGGAGGAGGGAGCAAGCTTGTTTTCTGCTTCCTTGGAGACTAGGACGCAGAACAATGGCTTCAAACTACAAGAGAGGAGATTCCATCCGAACACGAGGAAGAACTTCCTGACTGTGAGAGCCGTTCAGCAGTGGAACTCTCTGCCCCGGAGTGTGGTGGAGGCTCCTTCTTTGGAAGCTTTTAAACAGAGGCTGGATGGCCATCTGTCAGGGGTGATTTGACTACAATATTTCTGCTTCTTGGCAGAATGGACTGGATGACCCATGAGGTCTCTTCCAACTGTATGATTCTATGGGGAAGAAGTGGGGACTTACTTCCACTCTTGGTGGTCCTGCAATATTGGGAAAAATACACGAGCACGCCCCCAAAAAATGTAAAGCTGAAGTTTAAGTTAAAACCGGAATACTATTTACTAAACCTAACAGATTTTGAGATAGACAAAAATAAAGATAAAATATTCTTTTATTTAACTTCCGCAGCAAGAACACTCCTAGCGCAGAAATGGCGTGAGAAAGAACTCCCGACAATTGACTCATGGTTTACCAAACTTATACACTATATGGACATGGATTCTTTCACGTTCCTGCTTCAGATGGAGAGACGAAAAACAGATTGGATACTGCTGAAAGAAACTTATAAAGAAAGGACATTGACAAACTGCAGCAGGTTCTGAGAAAGGCAACAAGGACGGAACAACATTGAAATTGCAAAGGAAAGAAAAGTAAAGGCAACAGTCTGCATTCACCGAAGAAACAATATTGTGGCCAAAACTGAAATGGTGTGCAAAAGGTGATGTTTGTGCTACGGCTCAGGAAGTCGGAGGGAAGCTATGAAATGTGCTGCACCCACTCTTTGGCCCCAGAGCCCATTTGCAGGGGTTTCATTGAGGATCCCGCCAGTGCTGCTGAGTCTGGACCCAACTGAGAGCCAGCAACACTTGCATCACCACTGTAATTGCCAACAAGATGACTGGTTGGGCTTGCCTACTTCTGCTGGGACGGCTCAGAAGCTTCTAATTGGTTTTAACTGATATTTTTAATAGCGTCACTGTTTAATTTTAATGTGTGTGTTTTTCGGTTTTCAATTACTGCTAGGGGTGTTGTGTCCAAATTTGATGTCAATTCGTCAAGTGGTTTTTGAGTTATGTTAATCCCACAAACAAACATTACATTTTTATTTATATAGATAGTGTTACTGTTTAATTTTAATGTGTGTGTTTTTCGGTTTTCAATGACGTCCTGTGTTTCTTTGGTTGTAAGTGGTTCCGGTCTCCTTTTAAGAGAGAGAAAGCGGGAGGGTGACTACAATGATCAAGGGTCTGGAGAACAGGCCCTATGAGGAGCGGCTTAAAGAGTTGGGCATGCTTAGCCTTCAGAAGAGAAGGCTGAGAGGAGACATGATGAGGACCATTGATCAAGATGTGAGGGGAATATGTCCTAGGGAGGAGGGAGCAGGCTTCCTTTCTGCTGCCCCGGAGACTAGGACGCAGTGGAGCCATGGCTTCAAACTACAAGAAAAGAGATTCCTCCTGAACATGAGGAAGAACTCGTCTGTGAAGGCCAGAGAACAGAGCGAAAGAGGCCGGAGGAGAAACGAAGTCCAGAAGTCAAGAGGCAGGGCAGGGCTCTCTGGCTCTTCCAAAGGGATCAGAGTGTCTTATGGTAGGAAAAAGGAGCTGAAGAGGCAGGAAGAAGGCGGCAAAAGGCAGGGCAGGAAAATTTGGCGGGGAGGGGAAAAAGGAGGAGGGAAGGAAGGAAGGAAGGGGGGGCTGCTGAGTGTCTTGTTTGAAGCCCCTTCCACACTGCCACACAATCCAGATTATTAGAGATCACAGAATAAATATGCTGGATGACACTTATTTATTTGCGACATTTCTATGCTCACCCTGAAGGGGACTCAGTGCGGCTTACAAGATATATATACATACATTATATCATTAGCATAATACAATATCAGTACTATATATTTCCATATTGTACTATACCATTATATATAATATTGTAATATTAGTAATATTATATGTAATATAAAATATATAATTATAATATCATATTATTATTATTATTATAGAAATATTATTAGTAGTATTATATATGCCGCCCTTCTCACCCCGAAGGGGACTCAGAGCGGCTTACAAGATATATATATATACATACACAATATATTATATTATTAACATGGTACAATATCAGTATTATATATTTACATATTGTATTAAACCATTATATTGTAATATTATTATTATATGTAATATAAAATATATAATTATAATATCATATTATTGTTATTATTATTATATAATAAATATTATTAGTAGTATTATATATATCACCCTTCTCACCCCGAAGGGGACTCAGAGCAGCTTACAAGATATATATACAAACAATATATTATATTATTAGTATAGTACAATATCAGTATTATATATTTATTGTAGTAATATTACATGTAATATAAAATATATAATTATATCATATTATTATCTATATAAATAAAAATGTTATGTTCATTTGTGGGATTAACAGAACTCAAAAAACACTGGACGAATTGACACCAAATTTGGCCACAAGACACCTAACAACCCAATGTATGTCCTTCACTCAAAAAAATTGGTTTTGTGATTTGGGAGTTGTAGTTGCTAGGATTTATAGTTCACCTACAATCAAAGAGCATTGTGAACTCCACCAATGATGGAATGGAACCAATCTTGGCATACAGAACTCCCATGACAAACAGAAAATACTGGTAGAGTTTGGCGGACATTGACCTTGAGTTTTGGAGTTGTAGTTCACCTACATCCAGAGATCACCGTGGACTCAAACAATGATGGATCTGGACCAAACTCTACATGAATACTCAATATGCCCAAATGTGAACACTGGTGGAGTTTGGGGAAAATAGAATCTTGACATTTGGGAGTTGTAGTTGCTGGGATTTGTAGTTTACCTACAATCACAGAGCATTCTGAACCCCACCAATGATAGAATTGGGCCAAACCTCCCACAAAGAACCCCCATGACCACTAGAGTGGGCCACAGCAATGGCAGGGGACGGCGAGTTGAATAATAAATATGATTATTAGTAGTATTATATATATCGCCCTTCTCACCCCGAAGGGGACTCAGAGCGGCTTACAAGATATATCATCATCATCATTATTTAATAACTTATTAATCACCCTCCATCCGAGAATGCTCCAGGCGATTTACTGCTAAATTACAAAAGATAAAATACGTACATACAAAAATTAAAAATCAACAGAGATCGAATGCTGTAGTAAAAAGCCAGGTCTTAAGTGCGAGAGTAAAAGGCCCTAAGTCACGCATGGCTCTCAAGTAGAGTGGCAAGGAATTCCACAAGGCAGGGGCAGAAAGAGAAAAAGGCCACCTGTGTCTGGTCCTTTCCAAGGGCACTTCTCTAGGACCCGGTATATGGAGTAAGTCACGTTGGGCTAGTCGTTGCGACCTCCGATGATGGGAGAAGGAGAGGCGGTCCCTAAGGTACGATGGACCCTGGCCGTAAAGAGTTTTAAAGGTCAGAACTAGCATCTTATACAGGCCATGGTACTCAGTTGGAAGCCAATGTAAATGTTGCAGCACTGGTGTTCTATGGCATTTCATGGGCGTTCCTGTGAGTAACCTGGCTGCCGCATTCTGAACAATACGAAGCTTTCGGGTCGTAGACATCGGAAAGCCAACATACAGGGCGTTGCAATAGTCCAGCCTAGACGTGACCGTGGCATGGATGACAGTTGCCAGAGCCTCGTCAGATAGGTAGGGTGCCAATTGCCTCGCTTGTCATAGATGGAAAAAGGGCAGCAGCGACCTGAGCTTCCTTTGTCAGCTGCGAATCCAGAACGACACCCAAGCTCTTAACAGTGATCGATGGAGATAGGGCGGCACCATCGAAGGTGGGCAACGGAGTATATATATAATACTACTAATCATATGTATTATTATATAATACATATGATTAGTAGTAGTCTTATATATATCGCCCTCCTCATCCCGAAGGGGACCCAGAGCAGCTTACAAGATATATATACATACAATATATTATATTGTTAGCATAGTACAATATCAGTATTATATTTTTCCATATTGTATTATACCATTATACTGTACTGTTACATGTAATATAAAGTATATAATTATAATATCATGTTATTAGTATTGTTTTACATTATAATATTATAAATATGATATGTATATACATTACATGGCATTATAATATATTATTAGGCTAGCTCAGGGGAAACCAGGCGGAACCAGCTGTCTTCTGGGCCCCTCTCTCTTCCCTCCCTCCCTCTGCCTGAGGATCCAGCCCAAGGCCGCTCTGGCCTGGGAGTGGAGGGAGAGGGAGGCGCAGAGGGAGGCAGGCAGGCCGGCACCATGAGCCACCCAGGAGCTTTTTTGTTGTGTTCCAGGGCCAGAGAAGCAGATGGCGGAAACAGAAGAACGGCCTGCCTCAGGGGAGCGTGCTCGCTCCATCCATGTTCAACATCTACACAAATGACCAGCCACTGCCAGAAGGGACAGAGAGCTTCATCTATGCTGATGATCGTGCCATTACTGCTCAAGCAGGGAGCTTTGAGATGGTAGAACAGAAGCTCTCCGAAGCTCTAGGTGCTCTTACTGCCTATTACAGGGAAAACCAGCTGATCCCTAACCCATCTAAAACACAGACATGTGCCTTTCATCTCAAGAACAGAAGCATCCCGAGCTCTGAGGATCACCTGGGAAGGAATCCCACTGGAGCATTGCAGCACACCCAAATACCTGGGAGTCACTCTGGACCGTGCTCTTACCTACAAGAAGCACTACCTGAACATCAAGCAAAAAGTGGGTGCTAGAAACAATATCATACGAAAGCTGACTGGCACAACCTGGGGATCACAACCAGATACAGTGAAGACATCTGCACTTGCGCTGTGCTACTCTGCTGCTGAGTATGCATGCCCAGTGTGGAACACATCTCACCACGCTAAAACAGTGGACGTGGCTCTTAATGAGACATGCCGCATTATCACGGGGTGTCTGCGCCCTACACCACTGGAGAAATTACACTGCTTAGCCGGTATTGCACCACCTGACATCCGCCGGGAAGTAGCAGCCAATAGTGAAAGGACCAAGGCAGAGACATCTCCAGCTCATCCCCTGTTGGGTATCAGCCAGCACGCCAACGACTTAAATCAAGAAATAGTTTTCTAAGAGCTACAGAGACACTCGCTGGAACACCTCAGCAAGCGAGAGTCCAAAAGTGGCAGGCTCAAACCCAGAACCTCAACCAATGGCTGATACCAAATGAGAGACTCCCCCTGGGCACACAGAGGACTGGGCGACTTGGAAGGCGCTGAACAGACTGCGCTCGGGCACCACGAGATGCAGAGCCAACCTTCAGAAATGGGCTACAAAGTGGAATCCTCGACATGCGAGTGTGGAGAAGAGCAAACCACTGACCACCTGCTGCAATGCAACCTGAGCCCTGCCACATGCACAATGGAGGACCTTCTTGCAGCAACACCAGAGGCACTCCAAGTGGCCAGATACTGGTCAAAGGACATTTAACCAGCTACCAAACTCACAAGTTGTGTATTTTTCTGTTTGTTTGCTTTGTTCTGTTAGACTGGTTGTTCTGACACGACAAATAAATAAACCCAGGGCCGAGCAGGCCGCAGAACGAGGCGTCCCCTTGGCAGACCGAGGAAGAAGCCTCGGCCGCGAAGGAAGAAGGCCTGAGAGCAGAGCCAAAGCCGAGGCGGGAGAGGAGGCCCCAAAGCCCGGCATCCTGAGGCAGAAGTCTGAGGGGAAAGCAGGCCCGACGCCCGCCATGACTCACCTCCTCCTTCTTCCACTTCCCGGAAGGCCTACTCTTTCCCGCCTCCTCCTCCTCCTCCGGAAGTGACCTCACAGGGGAAGGCCTGGCCCGGCCCCTCCCCTCCTGAGCCTCCCCGCCTCTCTAGGAAACCAAGATGGCGGCCTTCTTTGACTCCTTCTTTGTTTTCTTCCCAATCCGCCAATGAGAATTCGTTCTCCTCTATGACGTCACCGGTCTCCGGGCTGAATCTCCCCCGAAGAAGCCTTTCCTCCGCCCTTCTTCTTCTTCTGCCATTCCTTCCCGGGATCCGCCAATGGGAATCGGCCTCCGCTGGGCGCGTCATCAGTCTCCGGGCAGACTCCCTCCTAGGTGGGATTTGCTTGCCATTGAAATCCACAAGCATGTGGACAATTTCAACAGAAAGGAGGAAACCATGAAAATGAACAAAATCTGGCTACCAGTATTAAAAAACTCTAAAATTACAACAGCAAAACAACAGAGGGGAAACAAACAGGCACATGAAATCACTCTCAACAAAAGATTCCCCCCAGGCGCTTCCAAGCCATTGAATGCTAATCAAGGTGATCAGCTGAAACATTCACAGCTAGCCCCAGCAAACAAAAGTCCTTTGTCTCACCCTGGTCATTCCACAGATATATAAACCCTTTTCCTAGTTCCAACAGACCTCACTACCTCTGAGGATGCTTGCCATAGATGCAGGCGAAACGTCAGGAGAAAATGCCTCTAGAACATGGCCCTATAGCCCGAAAAAAACCCACAAGAACCTAAAATAATGTTTCATGGCTGGAATCACTGGGTTTTTGTAGGTTTTTTCGGGCTATATGGCCATGGTCTAGAGGCATTCTCTCCTGACGTTTCGCCTGCATCTATGGCAAGCATCCTCAGAGGTAGTGAGGTCTGTTGGAACTAGGAAAGGTTTATATATCTGTGGAAAGACCAGGGTGGGACAAAGGACTCTTGTCTGCTGGAGCTAGGTTGGAATGTTTCAACTGACCACCTTGAATAGCATTGGATGGCCTGGCAGTGCCTGGAGCAAACTTTTGTTGAGAGGTGATTAGATGTCCTTGTTTAATGTATTGTCGAAGGCTTTCATGGCTGGAATCACTGGGTTGTTGTAGGTTTTTTCGGGCTATATGGCCATGTCCTAGAGGCATTCTCTCCTGACGTTTCGCCTGCATCTATGGCAAGCATCCTCAGAGATAGTGAGGTCTGTTGGAACTAGGAAAAAGGGTTTATATATCTGTGGAATGACCAGGGTGGGACAAAGGACTCTTGTCTGCTGGAGCTAGGTGTGAATGTTTCAGCTGACCACCTTGATTAGCATTATTTATTTATTTCAGTATTTCTACCCCGTCCTTCTCAACCCCCAAAGGGACTCAGGATGGCTTACATGCAACAATTCAATGCCACTACATATCACAACAATATAACAACAATTAAGACAATAAATAGAACATTAATTAAAACAGTATTAACAGCCGTATCATCATTCCAGTCGAATTCCATATCCAAAGTGCTATTTATGCCTGATGTCCTGGCAGTGCCTGGGGCAATCTTTTGTTGAGAGGTGATTAGATGTCCTTGTTTGTTCCTCTCTGTTGCTGTGCTGTTGTAATTTTAGAGTTTTTTTAATACTGGTAGCCAGATTTTGTTCATTTTCATGGTTTCCTCCTTTCTGTTGAAATTGTCCACATGGTTTTGTGGATTTCAGTGGCTTCTCTGTGTAGTCGGACATGGTGGTTGTGAGAGTGGTCCAGCATTTCTGTGTTCTCAAAAAATATTGAGGCCCAATCTGGTGGTCATGGGGGTTCTGTGTGGGAGGTTTGGCCCAATTCTATCGTTGGTGGGGTTCAGAATGCTCTGTGATTGTAGGTGAACTATAAATCCCAGCAACTACAACTCCCAAATGTCAAGATTCTATTTCCCCAAACTCCACCAGTGTTCACATTTGGGCATATTGAGTATTCGTGTAGAGTTTGGTCCAGAGGCAGCCCTAGGTAATTTTCAACAGTAAGCAAACAGTATTTTCCCCCCCCCCCCCCCAACCAATCACTGATATATATTTTCTGTTTGTCGTGGGAGTTCTGTGTGCCATATTTGGTTCAATTCCATCATTGGTGGAGTTCAGAATGCTCTTTGATTGTAGGTTAACTATACATCCCAGTAACTACAACTCGCATATGTCAAGGTCTATTTTCCCCCAAGAGCGCCTCAAGAGTGCCCCTGGGCAAAATCAACTATTCTGCAACAGTGCTGCTTGGATGTAGGTGAACTACAACTCCAAAACCAAAGGACACTGCCCACCAAACCCTTCCAGTATTTTCTATTGGTCATGGGAGAACTGTGTGCCAAGTTTGGTTCAATTCCTTTGTTGGTGGAGTTCAGAATGCTCTGTGATTATAGGTGAACTACAAATCTCAGCAACTACAACTCCCAAATGTCAAGATTCTATTTCCCCCAAACCCCACCAGTGTTCTCATTTGGGCATATTGAGTATTCTTGTAGAGTTTGGTCCAGATCCATCATTGTTTGAGTCCACAGTGCTCTCTGGATGTAGGTGAACTACAACTCCAAAACTCAAGGTCAATGCTCACCAAACCTTCCAGTATTTTCTGTTTGTCATGGGAGTTCTGTGTGCCAAGTTTGGTTCAATTCCATCGTTGGTGGGGTTCAGAATGCTCTTTGATTGTAGGTGAACTATAAATCCCAGCAACTACAACTCCCAAATGACAAAATCATTTTTTTTAAGTGAAGGACATACATTGGGTTGTTAGGTGTCTTGTGTCCAAATTTGGTGTCAATTCGTCCAGTGGTTTTTGAGTTCTGTTAATCCCACAAACAAACACTACATTTTTATTTATATAGATGTTATTGTTTATTGTTCGCGTTTTCGGTTGTGTTTTGATTTTCTTTATTGTAATTGTTGTTCAGGCCTGGCCCCATGTAAGCCGCTCCGAGTCCCCATCGGGGAGATGGTAGCGGTGTATAAATAAAGAATTATTATTATTATTATTATTATTATTATTATTATTATTATTAAGGCCTTGGAGAGTGGGAGGAAAGGGAAGCCAGTGGAAAGGGTCTCAAGGCCCTCCTGAGGGTGGGAAAGGCTGAATGCAAAAATGCAAGTCAAGCTCTGAAAAGGTTAAATGGATGCAGTTCAATATGAGCAGGTGTGCCTGTAGCTCAGCAGGCTTCAGTGTGAGAAGGCCTCAGTGTGAGAAGGCCTCGGTGAGAGAAGGCCTCGGTGAGAGAAGGCCTCGGTGAGAGAAGGCCTCGGTGAGAGAAGGCCTCGGTGAGAGAAGGCCTCAGTGTGAGAAGGCCTCGGTGAGAGAAGGCCTCAGTGTGAGAAGGCCTCAGTGAGGGAAGGCCTCAGTGAGAGGCCTCAGTGTGAGAAGGCCTCAGTGTGAGAAGGACTCAATGTGAGAAGGACTCAATGTGAGAAGGCCTCAGTGTGAGAAGGCCTCAGTGTGAGAAGGACTCAATGAGAAGGCCTCAGTGTGAGAAGGCCTCAATGAGAGGCCTCAGTGTGAGAAGGCCTCAGTGAGAGGACTCAGTGAGAGAAGGCCTCAGTGTGAGAAGGCCTTAGTGAGAGAGAAGCCCCAGTTTGAAGGCCTCATGTGTGAAGCTCCTGTGTAAGTTTGGTGTGAGAGGAGCCTCTGTGAGAGCAAAGCTGTTTATCTCCATGAGGAAGAAGCCCAGGAATAGTGTATTAGACCAGGAAGGAAGGGGAAGGCCTGTGAGCGTGGGAGGAAAGGGAAGCCCATGGAAAGGGCAAAGGTCCCAAGGCCCTCCTGAGGGCAGGAAATCCGAGCCCCGCCTCCCTCAGAAGCAGGAGAAGAGGAAGTCTGTTTGGAGGGGAGAGGGAGGGTCCCTGGGGAGGGAGGGAAAGAGGGGGCCAATACTCCCCAGAGGAGAAGAAGGAGAAGAGAAGGCACCTTCCCCATCAGATATGGCCAACTGAACTGACTCCGCTCTCCCACCTCTGTCACTAAGACCATCCTCTGACCACAAACCAACCTCGGCTATGGAACACCTTCTCATCCCATGACTACACAACCCAATCCACAAGCCTGGCCCTCCCTCCCTCCCTGCCTGTTGGGTTGGGCTAATGATCTGCTCCCTTTCAGTCTCACTGTCAGAAATATTAAAAATTAACTAGGTATATTTAATTACAAAAATGTAAGTCAAGCTCTTGTTATTATTTCATAGCAAAAGCTCAAAAGTATAAAACTGATAAAAATAGAAGGAAGGCAGGCGGCTAAATACCCTTTGACCAAAAACTGGCAACAGCATTGTCTGTAGCCTCCAACAATTCTTCCTCTGTTCATGAGGCAGGGCAGAGTGGACAGGCATACAGGTGCGGAGTTGTCTGTTCTGCTCCACAGTCACACAAGGTTTGGGATTCTTTTAGGTCATGCCCTTTTGATCTGCCCACTCTGCTTCTGAGTCTATTCAGGGACTACCAAGTTTGCCCATTCTGGGGGAAGACCCTCCCTCGTGGGGGGCCATCCAGGTGGGATTTCCTGGTTGAGCTGCCCACAGGGATCCCCTTGCTGTTGCTGGGGGGGACACCAAGAAGAGTGGTCATTCTCATAAAGCTTTCCCTTGATTTGAGTCTACTGGGAGGAGGCTGGTAGCCATGGAGTGGGGGGCTTTCACAGGGTTGTCTTATTTCTCTCACATTTAGCAGCAACTTCCCGTCACACTTCAGTCAAGCTCTGAAAAGGTTAAATTGATGCAGTTCAGTATAAGCAGGTGTGCTTGTAGCTCAGCAGACCTCAGTGTTAGTGGGCCTCAGTGTGAGAAGGCCTCAGTGTGAGAAGGCCTCAGTGTGAGAAGGCTTCAGTGTGAGAGGGCCTCAGCATGAGAAGACCTCAGTGTGAGAAGCTTTGGTAAGAGAAGCCCCAGGTTGAAGGCCTCGTTTGTGAAGCTCCTGTGTAAAGCTCCTGTGTAAGTTTAATGTGAGAGGAGGCTCTGTGAGGGCAAAGCTATTTATCTGCACGAGGAAGAAGCCCAGCGTGGAAGCAAAGAAGGAAGTATAAAGAACTTAATTTGTGTTATGGAAATCTTTTTTCGTAAATAATGCTACCATATTTATTTATTTATTTATTTAGGGTACTTCTACCCCAACCTTCTCAACCCCCTAAGGGGGACTCAGGGCGGCTTCCAACTGGCATGCGTTTGATGTCTACAATTCAACACAATAAAATACATAGTAACAATAATTATAAACAGTTAAAATATTACATTAAAGCCAGCTTGGTGGCCATCGTTTTGCCAAGTCCGGAATTAATAAATTCATTCCGCTTATCATAGTCCGTTTCCAAAGCTTTAGTCGTCATTGTCCTTGTCAGTCTGCCAGGTTACCCAAAGGCCTGATCCCATATCCATGTTTTTAATTTCCTTCTGAAAGAGAGGAGGGATGACGATGATCTAATTTCCCCGGGGAGTGAATTCCACAGGCAGGGGGCCACCACCGAGAAGGCCCTGTCCCTTGTCCCCACCAATCTCGTTTGTGACAAGGGCAAGGCCAAGAGCAGGGCCCCTCCAGAAGATCTTAAATTCCTAGGCGGGACGTAGAAGGAGATACGTTCGGACAGGTACGCTGGGCCGGAGCCATATAGGGTTTTATAAAGAAAAGCCTCCTAAGGAATGTATAACAGTTTTTGTGTGTGTTTGTTCTTTTTCTCACTTTGGGCTCCTGGTGCTTGGTCACACTGCTGCTAATAAGTTATTCTGCTATATGTTTATGGGGAGGGTCTTTTGTTAATAAGCCCACACGCCCAACAATCTCCCCTTTATTCAGACTCATCAATCACCACTTGAAGTTTGTCTCCATCGTTGCAGGAAAGAAGAGACAAAGACACCCCAATCTTTCTTGAAACGAGACAAGGACTTCTCCCTGAGCAACACCAAAACCAGTTTGTCCCTCCCCACTGGTTCACCCATTTTCATCCGCCATTCTGCTTGCTTGTGGTTGAATAGCAGGTTATTTCCATAGCTGGGCATAGAGGTCACCCAACCGGGGAGTCGCCTTCCATGCTTCTCGCCTAGTTCATCACGCAGCATCCCCAGCAAGGAAAACCCTGGTCCTGTTGTGATTCTGACCTTTCCCATTTCATCTCTTTCAGCCCCAATCTTTCTGGGCTCTTTGCAAGACCACGACGTATGATTTATTTATTTCATGTCCAAACATTTCATAAATAAGCATAACACTGGTAAAATTGAGGAAGCCAACCCTATCATACAATGGGTGCTTCATTGGAAGAGATCCAGTCCTGCTGCCTCAATGGGCAGGACCAGATGGAGTGGTTTGAAGTGAACGAAGAAGAAGAGATGGTGTCTGAGTATTAGAAGGAATTTCTTGGTCGTGAGAGTGAATTTCTCCATTTCAGTAAGGCCTTTGTGGAGCCGCAGTGGCGCAATGGGTCAAGCCTTTGTGCTGGCTGGACTGCTGACCAGAAAGATGGGTTGCTGGCCTGAAGGTTGCTGGTTCGAATCTGCGAAATGGGGTGAGCTCCCGTCTATCAGCTCTACCTTGCGGGGACATGAGAGAAGCCTCTCTGCAAGTCACTTCTGGTGTGAGAGAAATTGCCATCTACAGGGACACATCTGGGCATCCACTGGCAACATCTCTGTAGACAGTGAATCCTCTCACCAGAAGCGATTTGCAGTATGTCTCTTCTGACATGATGCAAGAATAGTAAGGCATTTGCTAAGGTCCCCCATGATCTTCTTCTGACAAACACACGAGTCAAATGTGGGCTAGAGAATACTAATGATAGGTGGGTTTGTAAATGGTTAAGTGACCAGCCCCAAAGGGTGGAGATCGAGGATTTCAGAAGGCAGGTGCAAAGATGCCACCACTTTGTAAGGACACCACCAGGAGCAGTAGGGGCATCACTGATTTATCAGGGTCTCCTACTATTTGTAATGGGTTTACAAAATTGATAACACTGCTATTAGCTTGTAATATTTTGTTGGTCTTTCTTCAATGTGTAGCGCGGCTTGACTTGAAAGTATTTGAAACAGAGATTTGGCTTTAAGAGAAACTGTAACAAGTTTATTGAAGTATAGAAGAAGCTTAATGGTTTCAATGTTTCTTAACTCTTAGAGGCACATTTCTTTAGAGGTTACATTTATAACATTTCATAAAACAACTCTTAAGAGGACTATTCCTTCCACTAGACAGGTTTTCAACTTATTTTCCTTCAAATTGTGTTTCTTTCCTTAACAGATCACTTCAGGTAACAGCTTATTCTTTCCTTATGTTATTTCTGTTGCAATAAAGATTCTTACTGGTGTTCTCTCCCCCTTTCTGCTCATTCACTAACTACCAATCTAAATAAGTCAACTTGACCTATCTAGACCTCACAGACTAAAAAGCCTAAACATTCCTTATTCTCAACACAGTAGTTATGCTATTTTAAATACTTACCCTTTTAAACACCTATCTACAATTATACATAACTGTAGGTTAAAATTCACATTTCACCACAGCAGGACCAGAATCCACAGTGACCGCAACAGAGGAGAAAGCTGGGTCAACACTAATATAATGAATTCCAACCAGGAGAAGACTTCACTTGGGCAGAAAGAAGTGAAATCCACAGAGACAGGATGGGTTGTGCCTGGCTCAACAACAGAGTTACACATGACAAAGATCTTGGAGTCTTAGTGGACAGAAAGTTGAACATGAGCCAACAGTGTGATGCGCCAACAGCCAAAATAGCCAATGGGATTTTGAGCGTGCCTTTGCTCACCTGGCCGCTGGAATTCTGCCAAGGGATTCTGCTTTTCCGGCATGGAAGAAGAGGGTGGACTAGATGGCCCACGTAGTCTCTTCCAACTCTACTATTCTGTGATTCTTATATTTGGGTGAGAAGGCATGGGCCGAGAGAGGAGGGGGTTCCTCTCCCTGGATGACCCCAAAAAGAGGCCGGAGAGCGACCTGCGGAGGATGCTCTCGCTGGAGATGCTGCTTGGAGCAGAACGGGGATGGACTCCACGACCCACTGGGTCAAGGGTGTTGTGGCTGAAGGACACACATCTCCTCCTCCTCCTCCCAGTCAGGTCTGCTTGTGTGCGGATGGGCCAATCCTCATCAGACCATGCAGGAACAAACAACCAAAGAACACCCAACAGATGGTCATGCCGTCTCTGCTTAGAAACCTCCAAAGGAGACTCTTATGGACTCCCGGTGGGAGCAGACTCCACTACTGAACGGCTCTTACCATCAGGACGTTCTTTTTATTGTTTAGGTGAGGCCTGCATACTTTGTCAGTGTGAGCAAGGAGTGGAAAAGGAGAAGCTGAGTAAAAACACGCACAACTCTCCTGCTAGGTAGGCACATGAATGCAATCCTCTCATGGCCTCCTCCAACTTTGCAATGGGGCAAGTAGTTGATTCCAATCCCCAAAACACTGCAGAGTCCTGGTCACAGTGTCACAGGCCTTCTAATGTAGCTCATCTCTTCAAATCAACACTCTTGAGTTCTGACTTTTATTTATTTATTAAAAACATTTCTATCCCGCCCTTCTCAACCCCCGAGGGGGGACTCAGAGTGGCTAACACTGGCAACAATTCGATGCCTCAATATCACAACAACAATATAAAACCATAAACAATAACATTAATTGTACAGTCATATATACTTTCATCCAAAGTCCATGGAGGTTTTAGGCTTGATTTATCTGCTACGTGTAACTATTTACAGGTCTTCTCTTCATATACTCACAAACACAATGGGAACTTCACACAACAGGGATGGTGGTGGATTACATACGCAGACAATTATGGCAAGGCGTCTAACCAATGGCAGATAGCAAGCCGTCCTTCCTGGAAGGTCAGACCCAGATGGTGGTGCTGGGGGGGGGGCTCCTGTTCGACTCCCTGGCCGGGGGTGTCCCTCAGGGTTGAATGTTCTCCCTCAGGCTATCTAACATTTACATGAAACCGCCAGGAGAGATCATCCAGAGTTTTGGAGTTTGGTGTCAAATTTATGCCGACGACACCCAACTCTATCACTCTTTTCATCAGTGATGGACTGGATGAAACCTAACAAGCTGATAGTAAATCCAGACCAAATAGAAGTACTCCTGGTCAGTTGGGAGACAGATCAGGGTGTGGGATGACGGCCTGTGTTGGATGGAGTCACACTCCCCTGAAGATACGGTTTGCAGTCTGGGGGTGATCCTGGACTCATCGCTGACCCTGGAACCCAGGTATTGGGGGTGGCCACAAAAGATTTCGCACAATTAAAACTTGTGCACCAATGCACGCATACCTTGAGACATCAGATTTGGCCATGGTAGTACACATCTTAGTTAGAACCCATCTGGATTACTGTAAGGCTCTCGGGGTGTTTGGGTCCTTTGATGGGAATGCAGACTCACACTTTGACGGGGATTACTCTACACACTTGTTGTTATTATGTTTATCTATGTATAGCCCGCTGTATCTCTCCTGAAGGAGACCCAAAGAAGCTTAGAATTAACAGTATGACCACATAATTTAGAAAGATACAAATATTTGCCAAGTTCACAGTCCAACAGTCAGATGTAAGGAATGCATTCACCACAGTTCATAAAATAACAACCAAGAATGCAAGACTACAAACCGAAGTCAGAATTCCAAAGTCAAGCCAGATAGGCAGAGATGCAAACTGAAGTCCAAGTCCATAAATCAAGTAGTCAGTCCAGACTTTGAAGTCAACGATAACTCAGGGTACAACAGAGTCCAGAACAGGATGACAGGAACAAGGCCAGAGTCCAGAATTCGATCCGAGGGGCAGCAGAGCCAAGATCCAGGCAAGATGTACAATGTTATCTGCTAAAAAAGAGCTGTTCCTTTCCAGAACCCTTTTGTCATGAGATCTCAGCTGCTGCTCATTTCAGAAAGCCTTCTCAGATCATTCCAGAAGCCTGCAATGCTTTTCTTGAGGAGGTAAAGGTCAGGTTAACCCCTTCTAAACTGGCTGCAATACAGAGAAAAATCCTCCTCTGTGGAGAGACCTGAACACAAAACCAGTAAAGCCAGACCACACGATCTGCTGCACATGACAGATAGAGAGAAGGTTGGCAGCCTTCTTTTTCTGTCCATCATCCCAATTTTTTGTCTACTGGGACCCTTGGAAACATACAGGCAGGTCTCCTCTAGCTGTGTGTGAGCTCTCTGATGTCTACTGCACTTTCCCTTATGTGGGTCCTTTGATGGCTGCGCATACTCGCACTGTGACTGAAGCTCTTTCCACATTCAATGCATTTATGTGGTTTTTCACCTGTGTGGGTCCTTTGATGGGAACGCAGATGTCCACTCTGAATAAAGTTCTTTCCACATTCCATGCATTTATGTGGCTTCTCCCCTGTGTGGATCCTTTGATGGATACGCAGATTTACACTCTCACTGAAGCTCCTTCCACATTCCATGCAGTGATGCAGCTTCTCCCCTGTGTGGGTCCTTTGATGGGTACGCAGATGTGAACTCTGACTGAAGCTCTTTCCACATTCCATACAGTTATGTGGCTTCTCCCCTGTGTGGACCCTTTCATGGGAGTGCAGATCTCCACTATGACTGAAACTCTTTCCACATTCCATGCAGTAATGCGGCTTCTCTCCTGTGTGGGTCCTTTGATGGGAACGCAGATTTCCACTCTGAAAAAAGCTCTTTCCACATTCCATGCAGTAATGCGGCTTCTCTCCTGTATGGATCCTTTGATGGGAACGCAGATTTCCTCTCTCGCTGTAGCTCTTTCCACATTCCATGCATTTATACGGCTTCTCTCCTGTGTGGGTCCTTTGATGGGAACGCAGACTGTCACTCCGACTGAAGTTCTTTCCACATTCCATGCATGTATATGGCTTCTTTCCTATGTGAGTTCGTTGATGTATAGTAAGAGAACTTCCCCCAGTGAAACATTTCACACAGTCCATACAATTTTGTTGCTTCTCCCCTGTGTGTGGTTTTGACAAGGATTGGAGATTTTCCATTCTTTTATATTTATGATTCAAATATTATGCCCGAAGATCACAGAAATATTCTCCTGATTTCCTCTTCTCAGTCCTTGTAATGCTCTAGTCCATTTGAATAAATAAATTACCAAGCCCCACTTTTTACAGCACAATCCTCCCTTTCCTCCTTGAATGCACAGCTATGGAGCTTGAAATATAATTTCTCCAAGTTATTTCTTGTGAGTGCTGTAATTTCATTCCTGACCTAAGACAAAGGGAAGTGTTCTTCTCAAGGTTCATTCAGAGGTTACCTGCCAGAGAAATGAGAGGAAAATCTTATCAGGAGCAGAGCACAGAAATATCTCATTGAACAATAAGAACAATAGCTTGGTGCTGTAGCCAATGCAGGAGAAGAAGGGAGAAAGAGCGGTCCTATTGAGAAGAGCCTTTGCCTGCTGAGAAGTGCTTTAACACTTGCCCAACAAAGAGCAAGCCCTGCAAAGGGGAGAGTGGCCCAAATTCTCTGCATGAAATTGTTTGCATAGCAATGTGTTAACCAACCTTTGTAAAGGAAGCCTTCTAACAATATGATCAGCACAGAAAGGTCTAAAGCTGTGAAGCATTTTCTGTCTAGATCCGCTTCTTCACATCCCAACTTAGAACTTGAGTGACCACCTCAATGGGCAGACTATCCCATGGGATCAGCCAGGTGAGAAAAATACTTCATTGTCTTGTGTAAAGTTCTTCCAACTCAGGAAAGAAAATATTTCCTGACCCTCTCTTTCCCTGCAGCATGATCCTTGCCCCACATTTCTAAAGCAAGGCACCTGGAGACACTGAAAGCACATTAAGCCGCAAAGTTCCTGGACATATTGCATTCTTACAAAACATATACCACAAAGTTTGGTAACCTCAGAAAAAATGCAAAAAGAAAAAGAAAGGGAAATACAAACTTCTCCACTGACGCCAATAAATCAGATAGAGATGCTAAAGCTCAGGGTGGAAGGCACTCAGCCTAGCAGCAGTACATGAGAGAGTGTGTGTGTGTGTGTGTGTGTGTAGAGGAGACAGATGGATGGACCCCCAGGGTGAGTGGATCCTGATGCCCTCCAGTGTTCTGCACTCCAACTCCCATCCACCCTTCCCACACAGAAAGACAGGGATACTGGGGAATACAGTCCAGCAACACTGGGAATGGGAGACATGATTACTGCCCAGTTCCAGTCAATTCTGCCCATTTTAGAAAGGAAATTGACAAACTTGAACTGGCTTGAGAGTAGTACATGTGAAAAAGATCTTCGAGTCCTTGTGGACAACAAGTTAAACATGAGCCAACAATGTCATGTGGTGGCAAAAAAGCCTATGGGATTTTGGCCTGCATCAATAGGAGCATAGTGCCTAGGTCCAGGGAAGTCATGCTCCCCATGCTCTATTCTGCTTTGGTTAGACCACACCTGGAATATTGTGTCCAATTCTGGGCACCACAATTCAAGAGAGATATTGACAAGCTGGAATGTGTCCAGAGGAGGGTGACTAAAATGATCAAGGGTCTGGAGAACAAGCCCTATGAGGAGCGGCTTAAGGAGCTGGGCATGTTTAGCCTGAAGAAGAGAAGGCTGAGAGGAGACATGATGAGAGCCATGTATAAATATGTGAGAGGAAACCACAGGGAGGAGGAGGGAGCAAGCTTGTTTTCTGCTTCCCTGGAGACTAGGACGCAATGGACAATGGCTTCAAACTACAAGAAAGGAGATTCCATCTGAACATGAGGAAGAACTTCCTGACTGTGAGAGCCGTTCAGCAGGGAACTCTCTGCCCCGGAGTGTGGTGGAGGCTCCTTCTTTGGAAGCTTTTAAACAGAGGCTGGATGGCCATCTGTCATGGGTGATTTGAATGCAATATTCCTGCTTCTTGGCAGGGGGTTGGACTGGATGGCCCATGAGGTCTCTTCCAACTCTTTGATTCTATGGTTCTATGAGAGCCGTTCAGCAGTGTTACTCTGCACTTGAATACTTTTGCTGGGATGACCTAGGACAGGCTTCTAATTGGTTTTAGCTGTTTATTTTTAATAGTGTCAATATTTAACAACCAGGCACATCTTAACACCTCTCAAAAAAAGATTTTCCCAGGCTCAGCCAGGCCTTCAAATGCTAATGAAGGTGGTCAGTTGAAACATTCACACCTAGCTCCAGCAGAGAATAGCTCTTTGCCCCACCCCAGCCATTCCACAGATATATAAACCCATTGTCCTAATTCCAACAGACCTCACTACCTCTGAGGCATGCTTGCATTAGATGCAGGCAAAACGTCAGGAGAGAATGCCTCTAGAACATGGAAAAACCTACAACAACCCATGGATTCTCTTTCTTGCTGAACATGGCCCTATAGCCCGAAAAAACCCACAAGAACCTAATATTTAATTTTAATGTGTGTGTTTTTTTGTTTTAAATTATATCCTGTGTTGTTTTTATTGTTATCGGCTTTGGGTCTCCTTTTAAGGGAATGGAAGCGGGATAGATATGATCATAGAATCATAGAGTTGGAAGAGACCTCATGGGCCATCCAGTCCAACCCCATTCTGCCAAGAAGCAGGAGATGATGATGATGATGATGATATAACTGTAAATTGCAAGGCTGGACCTTTATCTTCTGGAACCAAAATAATTCCCCATGCCCACACGATGAGCTTTAGCCTCCCTCCATGGCTACTGCTGCCATTCACAACCCTGCTGCTCCCACCACCATCCCGTCCTTGCCCGCTAACTCCCCTTTGCTTTGCTTTCCTCTTTATCTCCTTCCAAAGAAGGGGGCGTGGAGTGATCCTCCTCTCTACTGCTTTCCCCAAACAAGGGGAACCTGACCTGTCTCCTGAACTCTTAGAATCCTGGAACCTTAAATCTTTGGACTGGCTGTTGACTACGGTAGACTTTTGATCCCTGGACTTTGGTTCATCACAAACTCTGGAGATGCTGCAGTTTGTCAATTCAGCATCAGGTCTGGTTTTGCCAATGGGCTCATCCCAAGAAGCTTTGCTCTTCTTTCTCTCCCTTTGACAGCTGTCCCTACAGCCAGGGTGTTCCCCAAAGACTGGGAGACTCCAATGTCCTCATCTGCTTCGTGGATCAGTTATCCCCTCCGGTGCTTTAACGGAAAGAGTTTGGTCCAGATCCATCATTGTTTGAGTCCACAGTGCTCTCTGGATGTACGTGAACTACAACTCCAAAACTCAAGGTCAATGTCCACCAAACTCTTCCAGTATTCCCTGTTTGTCATGGGAGTTCAAAGACTGGGAGACTCCAATGTCCTCATCTGCTTCGTGGATCAGTTATCCCCTCCGGTGCTTTAATGGAAAGAACGGGAAGGTGGCCTCTCAGGGGGTGGAGGAGACGGGGTTCCCCCCCCCCCAGTGCAGACGCCTTCCAACTCAATGATTCTATGATTCCATGCCTTTATGTGGTTTCTCTCCTGTGTGGGTACTTTGATGGGAATGGAGATGTCCACTCCGACCGAAGCTCTTTCCACATTCTGTGCACTGATATGGCTTCTCTCCTGTGTGTGTTCTTTCATGGGAACGGAGATGTCCACTCTGATTGAAGCTTTTCCCACATTCCATGCATTTATATGGCTTCTCTCCTGTGTGAGTCCTTTGATGGGTAAGGAGATATCCACTGTGACTGAAGCTCTTTCCACATTCCACGCATTCATATGGCTTCTCTCCTGTGTGGGTTCTTTGATGGCAACGCAGATCTCCACTGTGACCAAAGCTCTTTCCACATTCCATACATTGATATGGCTTCTCTCCTGTGTGGGTCCTTTGATGGGTAAGGAGATATCCATTCCGACTGAAGCTCTTTCCACATTCCATGCATTCATATGGCTTCTCCCCTGTGTGGGTCCTTTGATGGGAATGGAGATCCCCGCGGTGACTGTAGCTTTTCCCACATTCCGTGCATTCATAGGGCTTATCCCCTGTGTGGGTCCTCCGATGAGCATAGAGTTTGTCACTCCGACTGAAGCTCTTTCCACATTCCATGCATTGATATGGCTTCTCCCCAGTGTGGGCCCTTTGATGGGTAAGGAGATGTCCACTCCGACTGAAGCTCTTTCCACATTCCGTGCAGTGATATGGCTTCTCTCCTGTGTGAGTCCGCTGATGTTTAACAAGAGAACTTCTCCCACTGAAATCTTTACCACATACCATACACTTCTCTAGCTTCTCCACTGCCTGTGGTCTCAGATCGCAATGTAATGCATTTTCCATTCTTTTATATTTATGATCCAAATATGATAGAAGCTCACAGATATGAACTCCTGAACAGCACAGGATCTCCTCTTCTCAGTCTTTGTATTGCTTTAGCCTTCTGGACTCTTTCCCCTTTTTACAGCACAATCTTCCCTTTCCCCTTTGGTTACACAGGTATATAGCTTGAAAAATATTTCTTCACTTCTTGTTTTTGTCAGTGCTGTGCTCCTTCAAGTCATTTTAGACTTAGGGCATCCCTTGGACAAAGCTCTCGCAAGGTGTTCTTCACAAGACTTGTTCAGGACTACCTGCCAGACAAATGAGAGGAAACTCTCATCAGGAGTTGACCAGGAAAAGATCTCATTGGACATGAAGAATAGCCTNCAGCTCCTCATGCAGGGACATGAGAGAAGCTTCCCACAAGGATGATAAAACATCAAAAACATCTGGGCGTCCCCTGTGCAATGTCCTTGCAGACAGCCAATTCTCTCACACCAGAAGTGACTTGCAGTTTCTCAAGTCACTCCTATCATGATAATAATAATAATAATAATAATAATAATAATAATAATAATAATAAAACTTTTCCCTTTATAGAGCTCTCTTGCTGGACTCCTCCCTTTTCTACAGTCACTAAAGGCTTGGGGCATTGTCGGTTATCTTAGGCCAAGCAATCCAAAAACAGGCATTCCTAGCACCTGCATTTAACAGTATTTTTATACCAGAAGTCCAGAAGCTTTTGGTTAGCCTAAGCTTCACAAGGAAGAAGGTTGAGACAGTTTATAACCATCGCTTTGCACCAGAGGCAAGAGACTTTCAAAGATTCCAGAAATATGACTGCAACCAGCAAAATCTCCTTTTGTAATGTATTGTTACATTCTGATAGTCCCAGGTGGAGTTAACCCTTTATTCATCTTGTTTCAGTAAACTCATTTGGTTATGTTTTCACCTTGCCTAAAGTGTCTCTGTCTGCTAAGGGTCTTAATCTTAACAGAAGGTAAACAGATACCCCCCAAGTAAGGCCAGACAATATAGTTTTCCCAAAGGCTCGGGTGTGCCATTACAGAATGAGAAAAAAATGTGTGAATTGTCTTTTATACTCTTCTTACATTTTCTTTTGTTAAGTTGTGCAATAATATATTGTTTCCCAAACAATCCATTTGCTTAAGCACAACAGCAGGAGAAAGGGGAGCATCTGATGTGTATGTCAGAGAACGTCATATCTCTCTCAATTTTTTTCTTTTTCTTTGCCATGGATGCCAGACTCAAAGTCAGAGAATATTGGTATACATTTAAATATCCTGGAGCCGGAGGAGAAAAAGGTGAATCTAGTTTATACTACTAGTTCTTTGCTTGGTCTCCTTTCCTCCCCACTCAGCAAGCAGGTCTCGAGTCAAAACATATAATGGAGGAGGGTAGGAAGATTTATGACCAGGACAAACAAGAAGAAATGCACTTTCTATGCAGTGCCCAGTTAAAGACCAGGATGCCTCGCCACAGCCTGAGGTAAGGCTACAGAACTTAAGCAGCTTTAATAGGGGATTAGACAAATTGTTGTTGTTGTGTGCCTTAAAGTCATTTCTGATTTATGGTGACCTTATCATAGGGTTTTCTGAGGCTAAGCATGTAGGGCTTGCCCAAAGTCACCCAGTGGGTTTTCATGTCTGAACAGGGATTCTAACCCTGGTCTCCACAGTTTCTCAGTGCTCAAACCCATTACAGCACGCTGGCTCCTATTAGATAAATCATAGAGGATAAATCATAACAAAGGCTACCCATCAAGGCAATTATATGCTACCTTTAGGATCATATGATTGTAAAAAAAGAAAAGTAGGCGTCTCAATCCCGCTCGCCAGAGGACATGACCAGCAGGCATTGAAGTCACCAGTGTGGAAAAGTAGAGGCTGAATTACCATGCTTTACACAAGACAATCTTTACTTGAAGGGCTTTCTAAGGACACTTCTCCACTGGAAAAAGTCCTTTGAAGGATTATCCGAACTAACAGAGAAATAACACTATGCAACATGATTTTTGTTCCTGGGTTATAGGGTTGTGCATTCGGGGTAAATCTTGATCCGTTTCATGTCCCAGCTTTTGGTGGGGGTCCTGTTCCATTTTTGGGAGCCTCCTGAAATTTGGGAGAGCAGATATCTGTTTTTGCTCTTCGGTGCCAAAAGATTCATTTTCTATCGGCCCTTTACGAGGTGGTGCGCTTCCCACCCAGGTTCCTCTTCCCAGCGCATGCTTTAAGGAGGATTCTTCTTACCTGCTGCTGTTTCTACTCTAGAGGAGGCACACAGCTGCAGGTACCTGCAGGCGCTTCTGGGCCTGCATGCCACACAGGCACTCTTTCTACGGAGTGTGTGTGTGTGTGGCATGTATGCCCACCAGTGCCTACAGCCAAGCGCCTCTTCCTCTAGAGTAAGAGGCACTCAGCTGCAGGCACTGGTAGTGTGGTTGCTCAGGGCCTGCACACCACACATGCACTCTATTTCCAAGGAGTATGTGTGTGTGTTTGTGGTGTGCAGGAGCACCGAGCAGTGTAGCGTAAGAGGTGCTCAGCTGCAGGCACTGTCAGGCGTGGATGTTCCTGCATGCCACACACGTGCACTCTCCTGGGAAAGAGAGTGCCTGTGTGGTGTGCAGGCACTGAGCACCCACACCGTCATGTCTGAAGCCGAATGCCTCTTGCTCTAGAGTAAGAGGCTCTCGGCTGCAGGCACTGGTGGGCATGGGTCCTCCTACACACCACAAGCACACACACACACACACTCCTTGGAAAGAGTGTTGTGTGGCGTGCAGGTCCAGAGCGCCAGCACCAACAATGTCTGCAGCCGTGCCGCTAGTGTCTGCAAATGAGCACCTCTGTAATGTCAAAAAGCAGGCCAGAAGTCGGAACCCATTCCTGCTGCTTGTTGACCAGAGAGGTGTTCCTGTTCTGTGCTCCCAGAGAAATGGAAAACATGAAAGAAATGAGGGAAATGGGAGAAATGAATTATGCGCACGACTCTACTGGGTTAGAAATAACATTTTCTAATTACTTCTATCGTAAAAACAAAGAAAAAATATTACACTGAAAAAACTTGGCTTTTGCGCAACATCCTGCAGCACATTTTGCTACAGCTTTTCAATGAAGAGCTCATAGAGTCTCAACCAATTCAACATAGTTTGTGGCATCCACAAAAATGAAGTTTCTGGAGTATAACAACTAATTTCAAAGTACCACACAATTAAACAGGAAATAACACTTTCAAACCAAGAACACAACATTTTTCAAATATTGATACAAAGTGTAATCAGAGAAGGTCAGTGCAGTCAAAAATCCTTACCACACACTATGATAACACTTGCCATGTTACACACTGCAGCTACAGAAAGAGATTTTGAACTATGGAGAAGATACTGCAGCTACAAGGGAATTTTGAGCTTTGTGTAGTGTATCATTAACCACAAAAACAAAATCCAGTGTTTTTGTGGGATGTTATTTCTGAGCTAAAATTGCCAGAATAACACACACCCCCACCCCCAGCATGGCATGTGGCTGTGCCACCTGTGGGATTCTGGGAGCTGTAGTCCAAAAATTGGAACATTTTTCAAGGTCTGGCGAAGATGCCTAGTGTTACTGCTGTGCTGCTTTTTTTTTTAATCCCCCAAATGATTGACTTTGTCTCTCCTCCCAACATGGATCCCAGCAAGCTGCTATAATCATCACAGCAAGCCGCAGCACTTCTTAAGAAAACTGTGTTTCCTCTTTTCATTTTATTTTTTAAAACCCTGTTTAAACAAGCATCAGCACTAAAAATAAATAAGCAAAAGCATCGACAAAGGAATAGTCTCACTCAGCCAAATTGGGGTTTTTTTTTCCAGGCAAAAATGACTCAGCCGTTTTGCTCAGAAAGCCAAATCTCTTTCTCTCTTTCTCTCTCTCTCTTTTAAAAAAGGTCTGCTTTATGCAACATTTCTGTTTTGCAAATTAAAGTGCTGTATGAGAGAGTCAATATTCCAAACCGCTCGTGTTCTGCGGCAACACATTACCCAGCCTCTGTGCTGAAATCTTACCCCACAAAAAGTATGTCTGAAGAAAGAAAAATCTTGAAATAACTAGGAGGCAGGGAAGAGTGACATTCTTTCCTAGCTTGGAGCAGTTTGTTTTGTTCTCCACCATTCAGCCAGAAGCTTTCTTTCCTCCCCAACCCCCTGCTTTTTCTTTTTCTTTTTTACAGTGTCTGGAGAAATGTGTTCAGATGAAGCCAAAGTCTGAAAATACAGTCAGAAATACCAGGAGGTGGTTATGGAATGGTTTTTGCTTAGGGCTGCTTGCTCTCAGGACACAAATTAAAGACATAGTTAATTGCACTGTCCTTCCAGGTCTCCAGCCTGGCAAACAAATAAGCATAAATGGAGGAGGACAAAATTTAATTTTCATATCTGATCTGTTTTTTAAGCACGAATTATGCAATTCCAGGTTATAGGCCACATGAGGTCCCTGAAATCAAAAGCCCCATTTTTATAGTTAGTACTGCACCAAAAGCTCCCTCCAAACTCCCTGTTTATTGTTTGTGTTTTTGGTTGTGTCTTGGTTTTCTTTATTGTAATTATTGTTTGGGCCTGGCCTCATGTAAGCCGCTCCGAGTCCCCATCGGAGAGATGGTGGCGGGGTATTGTTAGAGACCCTAAATTGGGTCTTCTTAGGTCCACATCACGGGAACATGTAAGGAAGGAGACCCCAAAAAAAGACCAAAAAACAAGGTTTATTTTAGTTTCTTCATGAAGAAGACGGACAGCCTGGCAGCATACACAAATGCTACCCTTCAAGTGACTGCCGCGCCCCTCCTCTTTTTCTGCTGACTTTTATACTCAAGTAATAGGTCATGGAAAGTACTCTCTTTCCAGCCCCTCTCCCTTGACCTTTTGATGGAAAGTACCTTCTTGTACCTGCAGACTCTGTGCTTAACCACAACCTTTGAACTTAACCACAACACAACTTCTGACCTGTACATGTCACATCTTGTTTCTTAAAAACATTTTCTTCCGTGTTGCTCCTTTTCTACAGAGAAAGGGTATATTTCTCTTTTGCTGTTAATTTCATTCAAAGCCCCTTGCTTAGCATTTAGAAATTTCACTCAAAGACCCTTTCAGTATAAATAAAGTTTATTATTTATAATTATTGTAGAATATCAAATCATTCCCGTATAGCTGGAATTACAGTGTATCATATGACTGTCAAAAAATGAGGCAAGTGCCTGCGGTTTTCTGTAAATGTGGGCAGAGCATCTAGACAGTACAAACTCCTGCACAACTGT